ATAGATAGATAGATAGATAGATAGATAGATAGATAGATAGATAGATAGATAGATAGATGATAGATAGATCGATCTTTCTGGTAGCTACATGCCTTCATTTTTTCCACTGAAGAGACTGTAAATCCACTTCTCACTCAGCACTTAAGAGAATACTGGTATTAACTATGGAAATAACCTCCAGTTGTATACTTTGAAGTTAACTGATTTATTTCTTCAATTTTTTATGCGAAAACAGCCCTCTCACCCGATTATCTAGACCTGGGATCTGTTTTATACCTCCAGATCTGATGTGCTTGAGATCTTCCTTGGGACACAAATCTTCTTAGACCCGTTTTGTGATGTCTGAGTGCTTGTATCTGCTGATACCATCTAGCTTCCTCATATGACGACGACGGCTTCCGCACTTTGCCTGCATGCCCACCTCCCACTTGCCCCCACTATGTGCCTCTGGACAGCATCAGTACCCTGAATCACCACGTGCCTCAGTCACCAGGTTTCTTCCAACTTCATTGACTCTCTCTCCCATCTAAAATGGGGATCCATTTCATTTGAAATCTGCCTGGTGTCACTCTATCAGGCCTACTACAGCCAAGCCCTGTGGTGCACTGTCAGCCTATCCAGACCAAATCCCTGCTTCAGAGCCCAGGCTGACCCTGCCTTGTGGTAACAATTCTTCACGCTCTTGCTCTTGGACCTCCTTAGTGCACTGTTGTAAATCACAGAAGCCTACCACTCCAGCACTTTCTAACCCTTTCTGGACATGGGAAAAAGATATTTGCTTATGATTTTCTAGTTCCCAACCAGTTTGGTGATTCTTAGAGGGACAGAGACATACATCTCAGTCCTCTGTTTTCTTCACAGGTTCTTACAAATTACTTCTCTTCTAGGCAATCAAATGTGCTGCTCACAAAATCCTAGAAAAAAAGACCATGCTACAGTTTGGATCTTGAAAAAGTCCCCAGAGACCCGTGAGCTAAAGTGGTCACTGGATGTGGAATTACATAGGAGGTATGCCTAGTTGACCATTTTTGCTCAATGATATTAAGCTTTTGCAGGATATTGGAACTTCTCTGTCTTTTTAGCATCAGGCCATGACATGAGCAGCTTCTCTAGCATGCCTTCTTCTCTTGATGCAGTAGGTCATCACAGGCATGAGACAATGGAATCTTCACAACTTCGGTGTGAGCTGAGTCTTTCCTCTCCTTCAGTTGATTATAACACTGACAACAAAAGGCCCAAATGGAACCTCAAATGTGAAAAGCATCATACCTACTTCCAAGGTATTTTTTTCTTCTTTCTTTCTCATATTCTCTCTCTCTCTCTCTCTCTCTCTCTCTCTCTCTCTCTCTCCCTTTTGGCATCAAGCATCCATAGGTAGATAGTGAGGAAACTAATATTGATTTAAACTAATTTACAAAATTCAGTAAAGTTAAGATCACAGAGTTAACTAGCAAAAAAAAAAAAATCAATAAAAACAATGATTAGGAAACAATCCCTAAAATTTTGTCCAATTGTCCCAGAAATCAGGGTCCAAACCTAGGTTATTTCTGGTAGCTTTAGATGGGTCTCTAAGCCTGTATGTATGCCAGGATACTCATATCTGTATTATCTGCTCAGCAAAAGGGGATGGCTGGCAAGTGGCAATGAGACAGCCAGATAACCACTGGGTTTCTCCAGAGCCTGGACCATGCACATACCAGGCGTGCCTTTATCTCTAACAACTAATTAAAGGTAATCATTTCCAGAATTGATTCCCTTTTACATAGAGTCCGAATAAGAATCAGTTTATGTGACTTCTGTAAGTTCTGACTACAGGTTTCTCCACAGCTGCTGTGGTATGTACATTTTTTAGCCCTCCCGGGATATCATTCTTCTAGAACAGTGGTTCTCAACCTATGGGTCTCGACCCCTATTGGCAGTCACATATCAGACAGCCCACATATCAGATATTTACATTAGAGTTCTTAACAGGAGCAACATTACAGTCAGGAAGGAGCAATTAAATAATTTTATGGTTGGAGGTGACCACAACTGTATTAAAGGTCACCTAGTAGGGAGTTTGAGAACCACTGGTCTACATGGGCTTAACTGGGCACTCAAGAAAACTAACAGGCCAACTAAGTGGAAGAAGGAAATTCCATCTTTAACTGGAATTTAAAATATATATATATACTCAATAAAAAGTCATTCTAAAAATCGAACCCTGCATAAAATTTAAAGAATCATGAAACAAATTTTGAATCAATTGGTAAGTGTCCACTATGCTAAGACATTGTCTCCAGCCTCGCCTCTGTGAGGTCGCAGGAATCTCTGGAACATGGAGGCTGATTTTTGCTGTTGACTTCAGATTTTCACAGGTTCACAAGAGAAGGGGGTAGAAACTGCAGCTGTGTTACCTCGCCTCGTGGTATGCCCAGACTAATGTCATGCACAGCAGTGGTCTTCCCCCTGAAAACACTTCTGTAACTTTTCCTGAGGTTGCACAACACCAGAATGTCTCCTCCAGTCCTTCCTTCAAGCACCCTTATTTGCTCCTTTTCAACATCTATGTCCTTAGCCGACTTGACTGTGTCCTGCAGGGTAGAGTGGCCCCTGGGAAGAAAAAGGCAGAGTTAATTCCCGGCTCAGATAGTCCTTGAATAGTCCCCATGTGACACTCATGAAGACAGAAGGCACAGCCCTCAGACCTCTGTGGCCTAGTAGGGCTGCTCCTCCCTGGGCAGGGGGCGGGAGGGGAGGAGAAGGTCAAAGAGCACACCATTGAGTTCTTGTCAGAAACAGTCCCTGTTCCCCTTATTAGGGTACCCACTTGGATATTGAGCTACCAAGGGCTACATCTGAGTAGAGGCTCTAGTTTGCATCCATACATGGTCCTTGTTTGGAGAAACACTCTCATAAAAGACCCCCTGTGCCCAGATATCTTTGGTCCTTGTGGAACTCCTGTCCTCTCCAGGTCATATTAACTCCCCCCTCCTTTTTTTTTTTATTCCCTGCACTCTGTGAAGGTTTGGTTATGAGTCTTAATATCTGCCTTTTTACACTGCTAGGGAGAGTCATTCAGAGGCCCTCTGTGGTAGGCTCGGGACAGGAACATTCTAGAAGTATTTTTATAATTCTCAAATTACTTTAAAACAAGAGTATTATAGCTAAGAGAAAACATCCACTGCTAGTCCTCAGTTGTCTCAATGACCTATTCTGTGGTATTTCCACATCTGAAATTTTATAAATATAAAAGATGGCTAGACCCTCTGATGGGTCTGATATCATTTACATAATATTTGAAGACATATAAAATGAATCAAAAGAGATAAACATGAGAGTAACGGCTATCCAGAGGCTTATTACTGAGGAGCAGAAGGTGAGATGGGTACATAAAACATGGAAAGTATTCAATTCAACAATCTAAAAGAGGATTGAATAAGTTAATTCACTTTATAAAACTCTATCCACTTATACCTTTCAGCTTGACTACTGTTTGTCTTTATCAGATAAGACAAAGACACAACCATCAGCCCTTTACCCTCGGCTGATATCTTAGAAGTCTGCATCCAAGATTTCCTTCCTCTCTGTGTGAGAATAACCTGAAAAATTTTATGTATATCTGTAGATCACATCACTAAAACGAAGCAACGCGGGGATTCAGGGAGGGACCAGGTACCATGTTGTTTCTCTGATGGGTGGGAGAACAAATGAAAATTGTTGGGCACAACCAAACAATCCAAGTTCCACTTCTGCTTAGCCATCCACCAATCACGGTGCAACAGAAGAAGGATCCATGTGGGTGGTAGACACAGCAGGGCTGTCCTGATAAGTCATCACTGCTGGTATCTGGGCTACATGGCTATTCTAACTTTGCCTGAATAAGAATTCAGGGAGCACAGCCAAGCCCCAGACTGCAGGAACTAGAGGCAAGACCTCCCAAACACACATCTATGTGGGCTGCTGCCAGGCCAGAGCTGTGTGCAAATGGAGACCTGTCATCTTAAGGCAGTGGAGGGGTGCAGGTGGAACCCAATTCAGTAAAGTGGGTTTCATGCTAGTGCCCAGGCATATGGTGGTAATTCATAGCTCAGGTGGAAAGAGTAGAATCTATCTGGTGCCTATGAGGGGACAAGCTATTCCTATTTCTCCTCCAAACTTTTAGCTAGGACTAGTATAATCATCCCTCTGAAGGACTGGCTCAGAACCTTGGCTGTTCACGTTCAGGACTGATCATGTTCACCATGATTGGTCACTGGGTTTTATTCGGATTTAATGAACAGTGACAGGAGACAATCATTGTGGCAGTGAGTCATAAGGGAGCAGAAGGGGAGACAACACCTCTGATCCTTGCCCTTCACTGAAACACAACGTAGCACAAATGACAATTTGCTGTGGATATCAAAGACATTGTTCTAAAGGTGAGCCCAACTAATATCCTCTATAAAGTAGAAAAAACACAGAAAGTCTTTTCATTGGCAAAAATTCCTTTGATACTGTCAGGGGACTGAGAAACCTGGAAGCTGCCAGAGAAAATCTCCACTGTAGGTTTTAAACAGACTGAAGTATTAAGGATTATCAGAGAAGCAATTACTCTTAAAAGCTATCTGTAATTCTACTCCAGCGTCAGTCAGCTACAGGAAATCTGCAAATTCCAGAATACTTGTGGCCAAATTCAGAAGAGTTTTGGGATTTGTATTCAAAATGGTTCTCTACTTCCACAGCCTTAGGGTGCTATGTTAAAAAAAATGGCTGAAAAGAAAACAATGCATATAAAGGGATGGCCCAAAAATATTAAGAACAGAGCTTTATGAGCTTTTAACTGATTCTTCAGTAACAAGGTGGTAATAGATTTTCCATAAAGAATCCTCCCTTTGAGAGACAGTCTCAGAAAAACATAGAGATATAATGACAGGGTGTGTGTGGGGAGAATCTCTGTCAGAAGCCGCAATCGAAGGACCAAAGACAGAGGGAGGATCAGTACAAGGTGGAGGGGGAAGCAGCAGTGTAGACCCTGCAGATGAAAATAAACTCCTCTGTAGATTCCAAACATGTTTTCTAGTATTTGTGTGTTTCAAGTGTGCGGGTGTGTTGTGTACATGTATGTCTGTGCACCATGTGTGTGCCTGGTGCCTTTGGAGGCCGGAAGGAGGGTATCAGATGCCCCAGAACTAGAGTTGCAAATGGTTGTGATCCATCATGGGGTGCTGGGTCTACTGCAAGAGCAGCAGTGCTCTTACTGAGCTCTCCCTGCGCCTGTGTGACAAAGTTACCTTAAGCCCAACTGTGTATGAGGTGTGTGTTGGTGTGTATGAGGTGTGTGTGTGTGTGTGTGTGTGTGTGTGTGTGTGTGTGTGTTTGCAATCATCCAGGTGCATCTAGTATATCTACACACACCATTTTCAGCACCTTTAAAAAGACAAGAAGACTGCATTTGGTAAAGGCATGTAGTGCCTGCACTAAAGTCCCACACCTTCCTGACTCTAGAAATTAATGCCATTTAGTTATAAAAGTGAATTACTTTATGGCGTCAACCAAGTTCACTTTTAGTGTTACAAAGTAACAGAAAAATTGAGCAATTTCAAAGTGGAAAATGAATTGAGACAACCAAATAATTGAAAGGATTATTTTAAAGGTTGGCACCTCTATCTTTTGAAATTCTTCCCATTTAGTTGGTGACTCATACTTACCTACTAAAAAAGGAAACATGAATCTTTAACTTACTAGAACCATTCATAATATTGTCAGTCAGCCACATTTCTTTATCTTGCAAGCTCCAGGTGGACTTTCTCCTCAGTCTTTACTCAAGAGTCGGAGGCATTAAGCATGAGCCCTTTAGTACATACCTTGACCATCTTAGAAGGTCTCCATGTAGCAGAATCCTCAACAGGAGAAGAACTGTGCCCTGCAAGGTCAACTCCACGAAGATCCAGCCCAAGAAATTCATCTCAAAGGGACTCACGTAAGAATCAATGCCAAAGCTGTGAGTCAGGTCATACTTGATTTGATTATAACAGAGTTCTATGAGCCCCTGGCCGAGGCAGAATTGAGGAAAAATGGTAAAAACCCACTTGAGGACATTGTAGATTTTCTGCAAGTTCTGCACAGTGAAGAGGGAAAAAGCTGAAATTAAAAGCTATTCCGTTTTTATAACCTATATAAATACCTTCCTGTTGACTTTGGTTGGGGGTACAGGGCCAGTCTTCCCTAGCCCGGTTACTCAGAGACACTCTCAGACAGCCATGGCGCCAGATAGGATTACACTTGAGATCTTGTACTATGTATGTCTTGTTAAGTTTTGCTTGATGAAATCTATTGTCCTTCTCTTCCTCTTACCCCTTCTGGAGTTGGAACGTGTGTCCTATATCTGCCCCACATATTTGGTTGTAGTGGCTCACAGCTGGAAAGAAGTTGGGATGAACTATATTTTTGAGTTTCACGCACATCTGAATCTGATGACGTTTATAGACTACATAGTAGGCCTTATGCTTTATAATTGGGGCAACAATGAGTGAAATATTTTGGAGCTCTGTGTCAGAATAAGTTTGTATTTTTTATCTGAGAAAGCCATGAGTCTTGGGAGCTCAAGGGCAGAATGAATATATATATATATATATATATATATATATATATATATATATATATATATATATATATATATACTTATATATTTATACATGTTGAATTTTTATCCGCCATATGGTGGCTTAGAAAGCCAAGCCTTTTGAAGGTAATTTTGTGTAGAGGAAGACATAAAGAAGAATGTCTACAATGAAATTAGTGTCCTTTTGGGAAAAGAAAGAGCCATTAACCAAATCTCTGGCTAATGGCTCTTTATGTATTCTCTGTGAATACATAAAATGGCAACTGCCTGTAAGTCTATAACAGGATTCTCAGAAGAAACTACATCTAAAGCCACATTGATCCATGCCTGAATCAATTAGTTTGCCACCTGAAAGAATTTCTGTTTTTAGTGATAGTGTGGGATAGGAAGCCCTGAACTTGAAAACTGAGAATTAATGACAGGCTATGGTGACATCAATGTTTTTATAACTCATTTTAAAGACCGCGCAGTGATTTTTACCCAAGTATTAACAAAGATTGTGTGATATGTGAATACTGAATTGGTAAGCACACACAGAGAGAGAAAAAGAAAGAGAGAGAGATTCATGGATTGTCAAATAAATTGTTTGAGTTGAAAAGAGTAGTGATTGATACATAGAGGAATGGAAACTGTAATATTAAACCTGCTTACATTTTTGTGGTTGAAGCAGAGATCTTCATTTGTGGGAGAGAAATACATGCCTGGCCTTGTCTAACACCCAAGACACATCATTCTTTAACAGTATTTTGGCAACAAGAAAAAAGAATCCCACTAGCACTTCTGTCTGTATATACAGTGGTTAATATTGGCTAGCCAGCTCATAACCTAAAATCCCAGTTGCCTTCTTTGATACCCTTCATTAATTTTACAGTTTCATAATGCTTTTTAACATAACAATGAACGTTTGATACCAATTAGGATGAAAATTTAAATAATGTTAAATGGCTTTAGCACACAGTATCATAAGGAGTAAAGAAAAGAAAGATCAAAGCAAATCTGGTCAAATGTGCTCCATTCCTAATTGCTGAGTGACTGGAATTCTTTTTTCCAGGAAATTCCCTTTGCCTGTTGGTTCTTTAAGATGAGCAGTGCTGTCTGTAATTGCAGATAACAATGCCTTTTGTTCCAGCATGCTGTTAGACTCCCCTAGATGAAAACATTCTTGGATAGCATCTTCTTTAGTTGCAAATAACCCACCTTTCTTTTCCTTTTGGCATTTGCTTATCCTTCCTTTGTTATCTAGTTCTCACAGAACTGACTGGCTATTGGTTTCACCCAGTTGTTTCTGTATTGGATCTGTTTTCCTTCCCACCACAGTTTACATGGATTGTCTTCGATAATCCATGTCACATTAGAAACCAATGGGGTGGAGCGAGGCCTCTACGCCTCTCCTGCTGATTTCAATATTCTCCCCAAGTTAAATCCAATTAATTGTTCAGCAAGCTGTCTATTTAAGGGCTCGAATATTAATACAGATTAGTGTCAAACTCAATCTGTAAAAAATCGCTGAAATAGATCATTGCCTCATTGAATGCAAAATGGATATTTACATACTCCATTGCTTCTACGCAAACATGAGGCACAATAATAAGAGACAATATTGGCCATCATTTGAGAGTCTATGAAGTCTGGAACCCAGCCACAAGCAGTAAACCTGTGCCAGTGTGGAAGGCCTCAGTCCCTTTCTGGAAATGGGAATATCCGCATATCCTTCTACCTGAAGCACTATACCTCTCCCAGGTGAAACTTTCAGATTTTGGCTCAAACACATGGGAACTACAGAGCCATAAGAGAGTATGAGAACAGCAAAAATTCTTTTGAGCATAATGTGCTCAGAGGCAAGAAAAAAAAAAAGCAAAGAAAGGACTGAAATATGAGAGCTAAAGAGAGGGAGGAGTCTCAAGCCTGTTCCCAAAAGTCAGGACTAGTTCGCTGGCAGATGGTTTAAAGCATAAAGCAATCATAAGGACAGCCCCATTAAGGACAAAGCTTAGAGAGAATGAATGGGATGTGTCTACAGAAGGGATTTCAGCTTGACCCTAAGGTCTGCTAGGCATTTCCCTCCCAGGGAAAATCACTTCTTGATGAACAGCTTGGGCAGCTTTCCCTCTAACACCAGGAAAGACACTGTTACTAAGTTACACAAGAGACACCAGTCCTCAGACATGCCATCACATGAGTATAGGCAAGGCTACCTTGTCCTTGATTAAGATTTTAAGCCAGGATACAGTGACACTTTGGCAAGACATACTTCGTGGTATCTATGCCTCCATGACCAGTAAGTGAACTTCAGAGGATCCCTGAGAAGGACATTGGAACAAAACAGTGGGGCTAGCCCTGGCCGATGGAGCAGCTCCAAAACACCACAGCAGTGTCTGCAATCCATCACTACTGCTGAGCACTTGGCTCCCAGGTAATGGCACGATTTTGAGGGATTCTGTAAACCTGAGCCTGAAGACTCTGGTTGGAGAAAGTAAGTGAATGAGAGCAGACCTCTGAAGAGTGGACCTAGTTCCCAGGCTTTTTTTGAACACACCAGAAGGTGAACAGCGGCTCCCACACATGTTCTTGATGAGCCCTACATTAAAAGTGAAAGCCCTCTTAAACTGTGAGCCAAAATAAATCCTTCCTCCTCTAAGTTGTGTGAGTCACTCATTTTTTTTAGGGTGGTAACAAAGTAAGTACTGGGCACCTGCATTCTCCTGTGGCTGGCTCCTTTGGAAATGGGCCACTGCGAGTGACTCACCTGGGCTTTGGAAATGATGGCCAAGAGCCGGGGCATGGTGGTCATCAGCATGGTGCACAAGCCAAAGATGAAGTTCAAGGAGATATAGGAGATGAAGGCCACATCTGAACTGGGAAATATTCTAGATATCAAATACATCCATGGAATCATCGCATATCTAAAATGTAGAAGTGAAAGTATTTTTATTCTCTTGAAACATTTATTTGTATCACAACTGAAGCATAGATGCAATGTTATTAGAATGGTGAGTTTTTCTTTCTTTGTGTAATATGCATAATAGTTTTCTATAGGAAAAAAAATACTATTTTCTAGGGCTTCCAAAGACCCTGTAAGGTGAAGGGAAGGTGTCATGGGGATCTGGGCATTAAACTGGACCTTTTCTACTTTTCTCAGTAGGAGGTCCTTTGTCTCTCAAGCCTACAGCAAGAATAATGCCCACTGATTATACTGGGAATTGGAAGATCCCAAGAATATAACAATATTTAGAGCTCTTTTTCACAAAAACACATAAAAACAAAAACAGAAAGCAAGCCTCATTTTGAGAAGCTTGTTCACGCTAGGGAATGACACTTCTACCATGTTCTCAAGCCTCCTCCCATGTCCCAACCACCCGGAAGATGATAGTAGGATCTGTAACTCTTAGGCAAGGAATCCATAATCAGGTTGACACCTTGATTAATCTGCTGCATGTATGTAAGTTAAGCTGCCCTTGGAATCCCACCTGAGTGGCCCAAGGCTGGGTAGAAGGGAGCACTGCTAATGTTGAGCCTTATCAATGGCCACAAGACCCAAGAAACTAACTACTCCACCACCCCCACAGCCAAACCTCTGCTTCCAACTGTCCCATTTGTCCTCCTAAAACCAGCTGTCAATCAACTCAAGGCCAGCTTCCCTCAGCTTTCTTTTGTGACAGTAAAATGCAGTCAGTGTAATGTACCTCAACAGAGGACTCTTGTGATTTGAACATTTCCAAATATAAGCAAAGACTCCTATTTAAAATCATAGGCTTTTGCAAAAGCCTCATCTATTCTGAGCTCCCACAAGTTCTCGCCACACCTGAAGTAGAGCTGTCAATATTTCCTGCTGGTTACATGAGATATTGCAGAAACTTTTAGATGCCTGAGCATTCCCTAACACATTAACTAGCTCTGAAAATTATGAGACTTCAAAACTGTTTGAGGGATTTTAAAGCCCTAACATAGCACTTGGTCATATATAATCTGTTACACTAAATAATACCCCTTTGTTAAAAGATATTTTCCTATACTTGAGAAACTATGTGGAGTATGAGCTGCAAAGCCATATAATATCTCAGAAACTTCACTCAGTAGCAATCTGCTTCTTAATTTGATCACGAAAAACTTTTCTGTGAGCCGCGTGATTTGTTGGAGACAAGTGCTTCAAAGCATTTTTTCTAAAATATTTTATACATAAAATAACTAAGGAAAATAAAAATAACTGCCAAAGAGATGAGCCATCACTTACTAATGCTGCTAATTATTACTAGTCCTGTCTGAAATAACTAATGTAGTAACAGAAAGAACCAAATCCTATCCCTAATCCTACACACACTCCTACTGTCCTTTCTTGGGCAAAACTCAACAGTTATCCTTCGTCATGTTACTGCTTTCAAATTTCTATCAAATTCATCCTTACAGTAAGCAAATATATATTAAATGTGTATATTAAAACTATTGTTTCAAACACAAAACTCTGGGACATTGTAAGACAACTTGATTTTATTTTACACAGGCAGATTTTTAATAGACTGAGATAACCATCCTGGTGTAGTTAAACCAGAACTGCAGAAGAGCCGGCCTTTCTTTGTTCCTTGTAAAAGATGGCATCCAGCCAGCTTCCTCTGAAAAATTGAAAATGTGGGAGCTAGAGGAGTTTGGGGGTAGCCCCTCACGAAATATCTGATGTATCTGGTTGGCGGGGCACAAAGCACCATGCGATGATCATCTGCTTTGATCAGCATCTCCATGTTCATAGGGTGGCCTCACAATGCCTTCCCCTCCCTCTGTCAGCCAGGACACCTTGAGCTGTGCTTGAGGGAGTAATTACCATATCACCACCAGTCTCCACTCCACTGGAGATCGCATAGAATCTTTATATAAGGTCTTCATACTGGGTTATGTCCTTCAAATATTTGACAAGTGGATCAAAGCATTGTCTAAGAAAAAAAAAAAAGACTCCGAGACAAAGACATAGTCTTAAATGACACCCCTGGAGATTTCCTTTCCTGTATTAATGAATCTTTGAGCTGATTTTCCAGCAAAGATGATTCCATGATTTTTTTTTAAACTACATTTTCATTATTTTCCTTTCAAACACTTGGCTGAAATTAGCATACTGGCAGATCCAGCCCCCACCCCTGCCTCTTCTAATTTTTTAAGGAAAAATTTAAATTGACTCATAGAACATAATTTACTTTACATGAAACCTACTGTGGCTTTTAACGCTCTCTAAAAAAACAACTCTTCATTTTAATGATTTTATAATTCACTGAAGGTTGGTATACTGTTCACAGGTATTCTGGAATCTATGAGAACAGATCGTATTCTCCTCCTGACAACTGGCCTCTTCCTTCTGCTGTGTGAATTTCCCTGGGGAACAGAACAGGAGGCTGTGCTCTTATTTTCACAATCCTTTAGCACTAAACATGAATCAAATATGTTCTTAGATTTACATTTTTTAAAAGCTGTCTGTCCTTTATTATTGTCATAATTATTATTACTTATTAAAATTAATTCACTTTGCATCCCGGCTATAGCCCCCTCCATCATCTCCTCCCAATCCCACCCTCCCTCTCCCTTCTCCCCCCACCATGCCCCTTTCCTAGTCCACCTCCCCTACTATCTGACCCTAGCCTATCAGGTCTCATCAGGACTGTCTGGATCCTCTTTCTCTGTGGCCTAGTTAGGCCATCTTGCCAGAGGGAGGTGATCAAAGAGCCAGCCACTGAGTCCTTATCAGAGACAGCCCCAGCTCTCCTTACTGTGGAACCCACATGGACACTGAGTTTCCCATGGGCTACATCAGAGCAGGGGGACTATGTATTCTCCATACATGGTCCTTGGTTGATTCATCAGCATCTGCAGGACCCCCTGAGCCCAGATATTTTGGCTTTGTTGGTCTCCTTGTGGAGCTCCTGTCTCCTCCAGGTCTTTCTATCTCTCCCTTCTTTCATAACATTCCCTGCATTCTGCCCAAAGTTTGGTTGTGAGTCTCAGCATCTGCTTTGATACCCTGCTGGGTAGCTACCTATCTGTCTTTTATTTAAGTTTATTTTTAGTGTTAGTTTTGGATTTGTTTTAATTTGTTGGAATTTATGAGAAAAAAGTCTTAATATGTGGCCTCATGCTGGTCTTTCTACCTTCGTGTTCTGAGGCTCTGAGTGTTGATATGAGAGTGTATGCCATTGTGACCAATGTTATTTGTTCATTTTCTCTGTCTCCTCTATGTTTTTGTCTCTCTCTTTCTCTCTCTTTGCATGTGTGCATGCATGTGCATGTGTGTGTACCCCCCCACACACGTGTGTCTCTGTCTATCTCACTCTGTCTCTCATTTCCGTCTATCAGTCTCTGTTTCTCCCCTCAATTCTGTGTCTCTGTCTCTCTATTTCTCTATCTTTGTCTCTCTGTCTTTGTCTCCGTTTCCCTGTCTCTCTGTCTCTGTCTGTCTCTGTCTCTTTGTCTCTACCTCTGTCTTTGCCCACCTTCTCTCTACATCACATCCACTCCCTCTCTTTCTTTCATCTTTATGTAGCTCAGGCTGGAGTAGAGCTCATTCTTTCAACAGGTCAACAACTTCTAGTACAACTTTCCTCTTTTTGATACAAGTTCTGCCGGCTGCCCCATCAGAGTTTAAATACTCATTTTCCTTGATAGAAAGACAAATTATTGCTAAGCATTTGTGTTTGAAATTGCACAAGACTCGGTTCCCTTATCCTGTTCCTTATCTCTCAGGCATCACTTCAATCAATAGCTTTGTTTCAAGTCTAAAAGTGACCTTAGGTTTCTGAATTTACTGGTTTGCACTTAGGTTCCTGGTATAAACAAGTCCTGGGAGGAGGAAGAGGAGCAACAGTCGCTTTACTCTCCAAATCCTGAGACAGCTGCCTGAAACCAGCTGCCAAGACTGAGGCTCTTAGAGGAAGGGGTAACAACTTTCCGAATTACATGTGTAGCTTTATACCAATGATGGAATAACAACCTTTTATGTCCTTCGACTCATATATCACATTGTCATTTCTTAGCTTTTTCTCTTTGGGAATACCCAGATTTTAAGTATTTGTATTTTCACCATCGTCTCAGGCCCCTTACATAAGAATTCTTCTCAGGAATGTAGGGCCTAAATGAGAATGCCCGCCATAGGCTCATATGTTTGAATGCTTGGTCCCCAGTCAGTGGAACTGTTGAAGAAGGATTAGGAGGTGTGATTTGTTGGGTTAGATGTGACATTATAGGAGGAAGTATGTCCCTAGGGGTGGGCTTTGAAGTTTCTTCACCTCTCTTGAAACTTGCTGATCAGATAGGAGCTCTCAGCTACTGCTCCAGCAAATACTATGCCTGCCTGCTGCCACAGGCACTGCCATGATAATGGACTAACCCTATAAGACAGTAAGCAAGCCCCCAATTAAACCCTTTATTTTTTTCATCTTTATATTTTACTTATTTGTTTATATATTTATTTATCTATTAACTTATTTTTGAGGCAATCTTTCTACATAGTCCTGGCTGTCCTGCAACTCACTATTTAAACCAAGGTGGTCTCAAATTAACAGAGAAAATTCCCGAGTTCTGGGATAAAGGTGTGTGCTACCATGCCTGATATAGTCTTATTAATAATTTGCTTGGTTCTGGTATATCCTCACAGCAACAGAACAGAAACTAAGACAAGGAAGTATATCACCTTTTGGAGAGCATGACCGTGCATCCATAGACTTAAGATTCTCCAGAAATCCCCAAAAATGTTTAGTTATAAAGACAGAATTTTCTTGCTTAATGTAGTCAAGTTAAACATTTTCTAAAGCCACATGTCATAAGATTAAGTTTTGAACCATGTAGCTTCATCCAAATTTCATAACCGTTTTTGAAACCTTTCCCTCTAAAACTCAAATGTAATTTCATAGCAAGGCCTATTTTACACATGTTAAAATAAAATGCATTAACACTTATCCTGTAAATGAGATTAACAAGCTGATATAAGATAATAAAAACAGGGTACAAACACACATCTGTATTCATGAGCTCATAACTTTTAAATTAAGTATAACACCATACTCCATGAGCTTTCTTTTAGCGAACACATGATTTTTCTCTGAAGAACAAGATAATTCCATGAGTAATAGTAATGGCTAAAATTAATGTAATTACTCTGCCAGCTGTCCCTGAGTTTACAAAAATTATCTTATTTAACTTTTAGCAATAAAATTGGCATTTTACAGGGAAGAAACTAAGGTGTAGAAGGGGATTAATGTTAGCAAGACCATAGGGTAAATGACATCATCATTATTCCCAAAAGAACTGGTTTCCTTGTACCATTACATATTTTCCACCTGTCCATTCATTAGCTCATATCCATCTATACATTTATCTGATGATGGACACACACTTGTTTAGGCAAAACTCTGTCCCATAGTTACATACTTTAAATAATTCTGGATCACTAGAATAACAAAAGGATATAAAGTTCACTTTAGTTATAGCCTTTGTCTTAAAGCCAGGTGGGTTGTTTTTGTTGTTTGTTTTTCAACATTAGTACATTGGTTCATTTTCTCCATCAGAAAGGACCATTTGGGGAGCAGTTGTAAGCATCCAGAATGTATAAATGAGTATTTCTGTGATGACTTTCTACTTTTTACTATTTTTTTTTTCCTCTGAGGAAAAAGGTGATAGAAATCACACAAAATACTTCCAAGCTACTAACATGATAGGAGAGGAAAAAATATGCTGGACAGCTTCACAAGAGAATCTCCACAAATGCAATTTCAGAGCTAACTGGATTATGTATTTGAGCCTACGATTAATGTCAAAGTGAGAATAACAGAGAACCCATTTCCCACTGCACAAGTTTGTCAAACAGCTCGAGGGCCTTTCTGAGACAGGACCAATGCCATCTTCATTATAACCGTCTGAACCCTTCCCTCCTCTACAGGGCATTTATCATCTTGCTCTAGCTTGTTTGCTCCTCATGCCTTGTAGAAGCAGCATAATTGCTTGAGAAGAGAGAAAATCATGAAGCAGACAGCAGGTTCAAAGCCATCCTGAGGGTTTTCTTTCTCAGAAAACAAGCCATAATTCTGCAGCTGTGTTTCTCATCACATACCCGAAAAGTGCCAGCAGGAGGGCTGTGGCCACCAAGTTCTCACGAAAAGTGAAAGCTGTTAACTGGAAGGCGACTATAATGGCGACACATAGACTGACAGAAACCAAGTAAAAGATCTGAAAAGACAATGGGGATATCCTGCATTAGGTAAAGATATTAATCATTCTCTACTTACTCTGCACTTTCCATTCAAATTCTACTTAAATCTAGCTCCTGCTACATATTAGAATATTTTTAGAGTTCATCATGCTGAATCATTGTTATGGGCTTAGCTGTCCTCCTCCAAAACTGATGGGCTAAACACCAAGATCTTCAGAATGTGACTCCATTTAAAGCCAGGGCCTCTGATACTTTAGGGGGAAATAAACTCCAAAACCTAACAGAGTCATCTATGCCTATCTCCCTTGGGAAGAGCTAAGGAATCCAGATACTATCCCAGAAACACCACACACACATACACACACACAGGGACTGGTGGATCTCCCCTTCTTTCTCTTCGGTCTTTCCTTCAAGGACTCTGCACAGGCAACAGCAACTCCACGCCTTGTTTGGGCATTCCTAAACATCTCTGAGGCTGCTGACTGCAGAACACTTCTTCAGAATGACCCATGTGCCTGAGTCCTTTTTGCTCTTTAGATCTCTGCTGAAACTCAATTCATTACTCTAACTTCCCGAATTGAAGTTCCTTCACCCCACTATCCTCTTTCATTCCTGCAAACAATTTAGTCATGAATCATGACTATCTGGTGTATTTGCTCTCTGATTCTTCCAATAAGACTATGAACTCTATTAGGAGTCATCTCTAATTTACTCATGTATTTAGGACCAACATTCAGCCCATTGAAACAAAGACATACAGGCTAGCTGGTTTTACAAACAACAGAGATATATTGCTCACAGCTCTGGAGGCTGAGAAATCTAAGACCATGGCAGTAACAGATTTAGCATACAGTGAATAGCTACTTTTCAATTTAGAAATGGTACATTTTTCTGTGGTTTTGACACGTAGCGGAAGGAATAATAGAGTTCTCTGAGGTCCCTTTTATAAATGTACTAATCTATTCATGAAGGCTACATGCTCTTGATCTAATCATTTTCCCAAAGATCCCACCTCCTGATATTATAAAACTGGGGAATAAGTTTGAATGCCAAATGCAGGGGGATCCTAATGTTCACCCTCAGCAAGCTTGAATATACTTCTATGCATAACAGAGCCTCAAAAATATTCATTGACTGAGTCATCAAATGGAAGAAACATAAAATGATTGAGTAAAAGTAGAAGAAAAAAGTCAGCCAATAATCAAACATTCCTTTCTGCCCTTAAACCCCAAGCCCCCACATCACACAGTGAAGAATGCCCCCATTCAGGACAGGGAATAAAAGCATAATAAACCACAGAGAAGAGAGGAAACTCCAGGGTCTTTAAGGTTTTGTTTCTCTGTAGTGTCTTGGGTATGTCGTTCTTTATGCTCCTACCCTCCGTTGGTACCTTCTTTCCTTTCCTTGGGACCACTAGCTGGAAAACATTGGGGAGAACAGAGGTTTGAAACTGTGGTATTACAGTGAGTGGTACTGAAGTGCGATTTGATAAAGTCTTTGGGGACCAGCACATCTCTCTCTTGAGATTTTTGAATCATCTTTAGTGGCAACTGAAGGGACTTGGGAGTATCATGCAACAAACTCCTGAAATGTTAAAGCATCTCAGGTATGACTCAGATAACTATGTATGTTTTAAAAAAACATCTAGATGATGGGATCAAAAGCAAGCAACTTGGTTGAGTTCTAAGCCCATTCAAAGTAGTAATCATTGTTTAAGACCGACTTGCTAACACAGTGGATCTGTGTAAAGCAACACAGATGGTCAGAAGCTGGTGAGTGGGAGGCTCGCAGCGAGTTTCAGGCTTGCCCTCCCTTCTGTTCAAATAGGATTTTCCACATCACAGAATGAATCGTCTCTACGAGAGCGTGAATGCACATATATTACCCTTGTACAAAAATGACAGCCCTGCTCCATAGTGATGACATGAGCAACAGTTGTGCAAGAGCACTAAATCAGAGTACATACATTGTAAATGCCCGGCCTAAACTCTAGGCAGTAACTCAACCAGGACTGCTACTGTCACCGAAAGAACAAAAGGCGAAGTCTAGTGATTTCCAGACTAGAGGAAACCCTGACACCTGTGCCCACAACTGCCAGGTTCTCACACTAAGGTCAGAGGTTAGGGAGATGAGAGATCACTTCTTATGCTTTTTATCATCTCGCCTTCCAGCCTTTTGAAAGCGAATGGCTGTTATTTACTCATTTCCTCCCTAAGAAACTGGGAGGGTCTTTATTTCAGAGCTCTCCAGCCCATGTCCTGAGTCTTCCCTCCATGAAGCAACTCTGAATGCCTGAAGGTGCCTGGCAAAGGCAACCTTCTTTCAGTCAACAGAATGAGTACTTCACTTGTGGACTGACCCATGTGGCGTGGACCCTTCCACCTCCATATTTGTATAAGAACCATATCCCCAAATCCTACCAGGTCATAGAGGAAGTTAATTAGCCAGTATGTCCTGTATCCAAGACCACTTATATGTTGCAACCTTTTAGCTCCAGTCACTCTGTCTCTCACCACGGAGCTACCAATCGATGCTGATAAGATGGAGAATCCCAGGACAATACAGAGGGCAACACCACACTGGCGAATGCTTTCCAGGCTGTGGACAAAGGATAATAGCACATCAGATGTCATAGAAGAAGTGAGAACTTCCTTCTGTTATACAATCTTAGGGAGAAGGATCAGGCACAATACCAACAATGTATGAACTCTCTTCCACATTCAGGACCCTCAAGGGTCTCTGAAGATGTGGGTTATTACTCAGAGCTTACAGGCATAGAACAGAAAACGTAATAGACAAACAAGCTGAAGAACATTTCAGAGTCTTCCTATCTCGGCCTATTCTTGACCATGGCGTCTGACTCTCAGTTAAGTGGTGAGAATCTCTGGAGCATCATCCAGCTACTGTGATCCTTCTCGACACTGAAACTCACTTGCTGTGGAGCAGAACCCAACAGGGAGGGGTGTTTGTAGGGCTGCTCACCTCACTGGAGCATGTCAAATTCAGGTGCTTGGCAAACCAAATATATTCCAAACGGCTACATATCACCACAGTCACACCATGCACTCTCTCAGGCAGGTGTAGCTGGAGCTCTCAGAGAACATTGTGTTGAGTCAAGCATTGCCACTGCCCATTCTGTCCATCTCTGGGAACATGTATGCACAAGCTGTCTTTTGGGTGTCTGACACAAGTAAAGGTGTCACCACACATGACCCACTAGGCTATGCCTTCCTTCTAGCACACTTCGTTTTATAACAGCCATCAGTTAGTCTGTCCCAGAGTGGTGGTCAGGTGTCAGAGAGTATTGGAGTCAGGGCTCTGAAAGCAGGATAGGTAAGAAGACAAACTAAAGCCCACCTTTACTGTCTCATGGCTTATTTAAGGAGAGAGTATTCATCAAAGTATATATTCTTCACTTGTCAGGTCAGAGGTCTATATAAATGATATATTCATCATTGATTTTTCACTAAATGATCGTTAGCTGCATGGAACAGAAGGAAGATGGGGGAGAGAATGAGGGCAGAAACAGTGTACTGAGTGCATGGTGTTGACACCTGACACTTAGTTACGGACCCAAATGCACCTGCAACAGCACCCACCTCCACCTGAGCCTCTGGGGGTCTGTGAGTTAAGTTAGGCATGAAAAACCTCAGGGAGGCTCTGCATGGTTCCCTATGGGAACCGCACATTCAGGCCGTTAACCTGAGTAATCCTGGAATGTGCTGTCCGTAGGCTACAGGGACAATTCCTTTTCTGAAAAGCAATTTCTTTTATGAAAAAAAACACAACTGAATACTATCATCACTTGTTTTTCTGCAAACTCATTGCACTTCTGCTTTTAAAGCCACCTGTGACAGTGTCCCTCCTGAGAAACGTTGAAGTAGAATCAAAATCTCTCCTCAGAAACTCAGAGATTGTCCCTTCCCCTAGCATTCCACAAACTCACATCTTGTCTTCATTCAGCAAGGCCCCTCCATACGGGTGGCTGTACAGTGTTATTCCTGTGAACAACAAATTGAGATGTGAGCATTATGCCCTGTCCCTCTAGGACGTCACATCCAAGCCCCTTATGAGATGTCTCCTGGTTGTTCTGCACACCCCCAATTCATTATCAGTAACAAAGGGCAAGTGTGTTCCTGCCATTAAACAGGTGTGAGCTGGGCTCTTTGCTCTTACCTCGATGGCTTCTGTCAAACACAATTGTCACGTATTTCACATGCGTCACATCACAGGCCCTATGGCCCTCTGTCTACCATATAACTGTTTATTGTTATAAGTACCCTAGTGCCCTAAGTGATATGGCATCACCCTTAATGATAAAGAGGCTCGGGATAAACAACTATGTGCAGAGAGAACACATGCTAGACATCAGGCCAAGTCCAGACAGACAAAGAAGTGAAACCATTTTCTTAAGGTAATTTTGTTTTGGGGGTTGGTATGCGTTGTTTCGCTTACTTTGTTAGGATTGTGTGTGAATGCAATGCCAGAAGGCAATATGAGGAAATCACCACCATGCTATCAAATGATAGGATTTTATTATAAATCTTTTCAGAGTATCATATTGCATTATACCCTTTTTTTCCATAAATTCCAACTGATGCTATATTAAAGAATCCCAATACTTTAGCAAACAATTTGTGCTGCATCCTAAAGGAACTGAGTCATTAGATTTTCTTCTTTACACTGGTCATTTTGAATATTTGGAGCTAAACATGGGGCTTGTGTGAGGAGCCCAACACAGTAAGCATGAAGCCTTTGTTTCTTTTCAGGTTGCTACTGTATTATTTTCTTCTTTTGACTCATTTTACATTTATCTTGTCACCTGTTTCTGTACTCATTTATGAAAGCACACGAAAACCCCAGCAAACTCTCATGGGTATAATATGAATGAATCAAGTACAATATTGGGCCTGACTACAAGTAACCAGCAGTTTCACCCTCAAGTACCTTGCTTGCTGCCTGTTTGCTACACGCACTCCTCCCATTTGCTCCAGGCTTTTTTATTGTATTCTACAGTGGGATTAGCCATGCACAAGCTGAGCTCTGGTCCATAACAGAAAGAGCAATTGGAGCTATTGCTTCAGGAATTCACCTGCACGATGTCACAAAACAATTTCTGTGATTCTGAATTAAAGCTGTTCAGATACTTTTTTCCTGGCATTTATTATATGGGCCTAATGAGACTGCTGTGGGTTTTCTAGATCCTGGACTTACACAACCCTCTCCAGTTGAATTGCTGGAGTTGGCTAATTGACTGTCTGAACTGGTAACATCCATTAAATGTCTTTTCTGCTTGTTTTTCATGGTGTGATGCCCTACCTCACTTCATTATGCTAACTCACTGGCAGGCAAAATTTCACTTGGTGGCCAGCCTCACACCAAACATCCCCACCAGATAGCTGCACAAATATTAAGTGGCCTCAGACACTGTATATGAAAAGTGAGATCCTGCCAAAAATGACGGGTATGCCCAGGGTGCTGCAGACAGTGACAATATGTCTCACTGTTGATGCAGTTCCAGTTTCTGCCTATTGATGAGAACATTGCGTATTAAATAAAGCCCAGAGCAGTGTCATAAACTGAGTAAGGTTCTAAGAATTATAAAATTGTAGGAACATAGACTATTGAAATCTCTAAGCTTAAACCCACCCCCCACCCCATCCTTCACAACCTGTATGGGATAAGAAGTATGCAAATGTCCTCAGGCTAAAATATCATCACATATCAAAGGAAACACACATGGTCTATAATGGAAGGAAAAGTTGTTTCAAGGAAGCAAGTTCAAAACATAAAATAAAACATGTTTAGAGGTTGAGAACACTGGTTCTAGTCCAGTTTTTGGGGAGAAGACAAGGTTGGACAACACATTCAGTCACACAAGTAGTTATTTTACTCAACCAACTAAACTTCAATAAAAAACTCTAGACACCGAAGCTTATCCACTCTCCTGGTTGCCAAACAGCTGAATATACTGAAAGTGATAGGAAGTAACATACTTGAATCCATAGGCATCTTCCCTCCCCTCACTCCAGGATCTCTAATGCTTGGTTCTATTAAATAATCCAATCTAATAAGGTCATGCAAACCCATAAACCTCCATAGCTAGGCTGCTAAAGCATGAAGGTGCCCAGGGCCCTTGCAATGCAGCTGACACCTCGGGTGTGATCTTGTTGAGGAACACACTCTTTAGGCTTATTTGGTATAACTGAAAACACTCATTGGTGGTGTGTCTTATTTCAACATTTAGCCCTATCGCCTCCTTTCCCAGAAGTTTAGCAAACTCGGAGTCCTAGTGTTTAGTCCTGTTTTTATTATATTTTGCTCTTCCAGATCACCTTTTCCTACCAGAAATTCTAGACTTAGGTTTGTGGGACCAGCATATCCAATGCATTGACTAGTCTGATTGTCAACTTGAAAGTAGAAATTACAAAGTAGAATCATCTGGGAAGAGTGAAACTCAATTGAGAAATCACTTAGATCAGATTGATCTAATTTCAAACGGATATAGGAAGGGCCGGCCACTGTGTGTGGTACAACCCTAGAAAGGCAGGTCTGGGATGTTGAAGGTAATTAGCTGCGCATGAGCTAGTGAGAGAGCCAGGAAACAGCATTCCTCCATTGTTCCTACTTAAGCTCCTGCCCCAGCTTTCCTCAATGATGGGATTTTATCTACAGGTATCAGCCAAACAAACCTGTTCCTGCCCATAAGTTGCTTTTGTTCATGGTGTTTATTACAGCCACAGAACACAAATTAGAATCTCCAGATAAATGGATGTTTTTTGTTTTTTGTTTTTTTGTTTTTTTCTCATGTATATTTGACCAGAAGTTTTCCCTCGAATCCCTACAGTCCTCATGTTACTTGGGTCTCAAGCTTCATAGAGTTGAGTATATTCTGCACACACCCAGTTACCTGCAACCTGCAGGTTTGTGAGCTTGAAAACAAAGGCCATGCCTCAGGATTCCCACTATTCCAGTCATCCAGGTGCAAAACCGAGGTCCCACCCTCTCCTCATTTTTCTTTGCCGCATGTGTTCAAGTTTCCATGTTCTGCCACTTCCATTGGGCCTCCTTACACAGATTCATGGTGTTCATGCTCACTAGCACCTTGTCTTGGTGCTAGTTGGTGACCCCGAACTCACATCGTTTCTAAGCCTGCCCCTCCCCAAGCTCAGCACGTATGCCAGCCCCAACAAACTAGAGAACATTTGTCTGAGAGAGAGAGAGAGAGAGAGAGAGAGAGAGAGAAAGGAAGGGCATGAGGGGGGAGAGGAGTAGAAAAACAGAGCAATCATGTCCTTCACCTCCACACAGATTCACTTTATGATAATGTATAAAACTCTTCAACTGATTCAATGTGAAAAATGGGATTATTATCACTTTCCTTGACCCTGATGCATTTTAACTTTGCCTTCACCCTCCTGGTCCAGGCCCCACTGACATCTCATTCCATCTCAGTCCTATTCAGAAATTAATTTCATTTTTTGAAATCATCATTACATTGTCATGCTTTAGTGAGGTAAAACCAAGGAATGAAAAATGTATAAAGACTGCCATGAGTTACAGCAGTTTTACTTATGAATTTTCAATTCTACGCTATCACAGAAATAAAATATACTTTGTAGAACTCACACTTCAAAATTGAATTTTAATCTTTTCCTTGCTGCAGACATTTGGTAGCATACTCTGGTTGTGCTGGGCAGCTGGCACATTGAGCTGCAGGTCTTAGCCACCCACCATGAGCCATCTTCCATGTCTCCAAATCACAAATTTGTGATCTTTACGTTGTTATTTATGCTATATAAATTTCTCACTTAGAACATTTTCAGCTTACTGTGAGTTTATCAAGACACAATTCCACCATTAAATCAAGCTTCTATGTTCCAAGTTTACAGTGTCATTTTTTTTTCATTTTCAGCTGATTTATTATTTATTACAATTTATTCACTTTGTATCCTGGCTGTAGCCCTCTCCCTCATCTCCTCTCAGTCCCATCCTCTGTCCTTTTTCTCCCTCATGCTCCTCCCCTAGTCCACTGATAGGGGAGGACCTCCTCCCCTACTATCTGACCCTAGCCTATCAGGTCTCATCAGGACTGGCTGGCAAGGCTGCCCCACCCCCTCAAGAGGCAGGTGATGAAAAAGCCAGCCACTGAGTCCAAGTCAGAGGCAGCTCCTGCTCCCCTTCAAGTTATCCCCCATGGAGACTGAGAGCCTATGATCTACATCTGAGCAGGAGGTCTAGGTCCTCTTCATTCATGGTCCTTAGTTGTCACATCAGTCTCAGCAGGCCCCCCTGAGCCCAAATTTTTTGGCTCTGTTGGTCTCATTGCAGAGCTCCTGTCCCCTCCAGGTCTTTCATCTCCCATTCTTCCATAAGATTTCCTGCACTCTGCCCAAAGTTTGACTATGAGTCTCACATCTGCTTCAATACCCTGCTAGGTGGAGTCTTTTGAAGGCTCTCTATGGTAGGCACCTGTCCTGTTCCCTTTCTTCTTCACTCTGGTATCTATCCCATTTGCCTTTCTGAATGAGAATTAAGCATCTTCCCCAGGGTCATCCTTGTTGTTTAGCTTCTTTAACACTATAGATTTTAGTATGCTTATTTTATATTCTATATCTAATAGCCACTTATACGTGAGTTTAAGTGTGTGTTTTTCTGTTTCTGGGTTCCATCACTCAGGATGATCTTTTCTAGTTCCATCCATTTGCCTGCAAATTTCATGATTTCCTTGTTTTTAATAGCTGAGTAGTATTCCATTGTGTAAATGTACCACAATTTCTGTATCCATTTCTTGCTTGAGGGACATCTAGGTTGTTTCCAGATTCTGGCTATTACAAATAAAGCTGCTATGAACATAGTTGAGCGAATGTCCTTGTTGAATGGTTGAACATCTTTTGAATATATGTCCAGGAGTGACGTAGCTGGATTTTGAGGTAGCACCATTCCTAATTTTCTGAGAAAGCAACAGAGTGATTTCCAAAGTAATAGAGAAATATTGAAT